GGAGGGGAAGAAAGAGAGAAACAGACACAGAGAGAGACACCAGTTTTTATTTTTTTCCACCGTCCTTCACTTCCTTTTTTTAACAAAATACTCTGAATATGCCACTGGGCTAGATAGTTGGGAGTCTCAGGATAGTTAAGCCTGAGGAATTTGAATTTCTGTAGCAGAGTATGAATAAATAACAAATAATTATAATTTAGGTTCTGTAGTGAAGTACACAGTATTAAAAATCATGTGGTATTGCCCTTTGTTTCTCCATTACTTATTATGATGCACATTGTAGGTGATTAATTCAAATGTATTTCACTGGCCTAAACCTGAATAAAAATGTTTATGCTTTATTATAGGCCCATTTCTTTTGTGGAAGATTCCAGGCGGCATTTGAAGAGAAAGCATCCCCATCTTGAGGCAAGGAAAACAAATTCCTTTGAACTTGCCGCTAAATTGCATTTCCCCTTCCAATCTCATACTTCACACTGGCCAAGGCTCTCTAATGAAAACAGCCTAAGCAAAACAATCTATCACCCAGGCAGCTCTAGTGCTCCAAAGGCCAATGAATCTTAGGACTGAGGCTTCAAGGGATACAGGATTGTGGAAGAAGTGGCTATCAAACCTGCAACAGTGAGATTACTCAACTAATCATTCCACGCCTGCTCTACGTGACATTTAAACTGTACTCCGGAAATCTCATTCTATTTAGGCATGCTGTATGCAAGTTACAAATGAGTACCAGAGAGCCACATTCTCTGTTTTGTGTATGATACAGGGGACATTATCTGCTTTTGGGTTTTGCTTATTCACTCTTCTTCCGTTTTTATACCTGACCCACAAGGGAAAAAGGTTAAAATCATGACCGTAGTATTCTAGAGTCAGTAACTTTTTGCATTGCCCTGATGTCAATGGGCATCCTTTGTGAGAATGCAATGCATTACAGCCTGACACGTTTTTCCAAATACTTGAACTCTGATAATACAACAACACTCAGTGATTTGATTAGAGAACTCTGGTAGCTCAGTGCCTAAGGAGATGTGTTGCCAGCCCAATTGCAAGCGGTTTGAATCCATCAGCTGCTGCCCATCGTGAGAAAGAGGGGCAATCTCCTTTCCATGCAGTTTACAGGCTTTGAAAGCTTCTAAAGAGTCAATTATGCATCAGTTCTGAAATGGAGGCAATGAACAACAGCAGAAATGACTTGATTAGGACTTATATTCCACTATTATAAAAAAATACATGAGTTTAAATCTGATAGACGATGCTCTTACCAGCTTATAAAATCTTTGTTTTCAAATATGTTCAATATTGAAGTCAGTATATTCAAGTCAGTACCCTGAAATCTACCATGATTGTGGGAATTTACACAATTTGCAGACTACACTACAGGAGCTGTTCCCCTCATTCCCTAAGTTAAAAATGTACAAATTAGATCTAAAGCTGCTGCTGATAGGAAAGGTACAGAAAGCATATCTGACTTAGCATAAACAACCCTCTAGAAAGAAAGCCATGAGGGAAAGTACTGCTCCCAAAATAAGTACCTCATGACCTGAGTTAGAAGTCTTGACAAACCCAGCTTTCTCTCTGTATTATCACTGTGTGGTAGGGATCATTGGTGACCTAATAGGTAAGGAAATGTGCTCTGAACCCAAATGTAGGTTGTTCAATCTACTAGCTCCTTCATGGGATAAAGATGGGCAATATCATCCTGGGTGATTTACCGCCAGAGGGTCAGCTATGAACCAGTTCTGACTTGACAACAGAAGTTTCTGGTTTTGAGTTTTTTAATTGGGGTATATCTTTGAACAGATAATTCCCCAAATGGGAAGGAAACCTAGTCCAGCCTTGACATTTTCTATTACAAGCCTATTAGTTGTATAGAGTTGTTGTAAAATTGATTTTAGAAGTGCCTCAATTAAAGCAAACCACTAGTACAAAGACACAAAAACTACTAACAGCATTTAGAAGAGTAGATTAAGAAGTGTGTTAAAAGGAAGATAAGGAAAGAAGATGAAAGTGTGCCTGATTCAGGCTCTGGTCTTCTCAATCACTTACTATGTATTTGAGTGCTGGACAATGAATAAGTATGCCAGAAAAACTGATACCTTTGAGTTGGAGAGTTGGTTATCTCATGGACTGACTATTTCATAGACTGCCAAAACCCTCCAAAGTATGTCTTGGAAAAAGTACAGACAAAGTATTCCTTAGATGCAAGAATGGTCAAATTTCATCTCACATATTCTGGGGACGCTGCTAGGAGAGACTATTCATTGGATATTATGAAGGATATCATGCTTGGAAAGACGGAGGGTCAGAGGAAGAAAGGAATGCAATTAATGAGATGGACTGACAGAGTAACTGTAGCAATGGACTCAAACGTGTCAGAGACGATGAAGATAAGATTGTACAGGATAAGACAGGGTTAAAATCTCGTGTTCATAGAGTTGCAATGAGTTGTACTCAATTCAGTGGCACCTAACAATAATAATGCCTGAGCTATCTGGAATGCAAGGAAAAAAATGTAGGGGGATAGGAAAGATATCTTTATATTCTGAGATTTGATCTTTAGAAAAAAGATACTTTTCTCCCAACTGCAAAAGAAATTTTCCAAATGAAGCATTAAGTAGCATTTAAAAAAAAAAAAAAAGATGATGTAATCACCCAAACAGTAGACATGCGATGACTGTATTATTGTGCATGAGCTGGACACCCAAAATGGTATCTTACTGTATTTTTATTACTTTGTTAATTTTTGTTTCTATACCAAAGTTATCTAGCTTTGATATTCCCTCAGTCTGAAGTCTTTTTGGAACTGTACTTTTTGGAACTTTATTAAGGAGAAAAAGATGGAAAAAGAAAATGAACATTTGAAAGGAAGAAAAGGAAATTAGGCCCCATAAAGGTTCTAACAGGATCCCTTCAATGAGTTAGAAAGAATAAAACTTTAAATACTTGCGATTTAACCTAGCATCTCAGAGCTTCCCTATCTCAAGCTAGGAATCCACCTAAGGATGAGTATTTATTTGCAAAGATGAAAGGATCTTTCAAGGAGAGATGAATGCATATTATGCATATGATCTTAGTGAAGAACCACTGATTTCTATACTTAGGCATGACCTTAGAGATAACTTTTTTTCAGCATCCTGCTGAAGAAGGAATCTTGTCCACAATACTTATTGGTAGATTATTAAGGCCTGGGGGGTTTCTAAGAATGGAAGTATCCTATTTCCCAAATTAGTCTACATCTTTTTGGAGATAGCTGTCAATATCAGCAGCTGTGGTCTCATAATAATTGTAAATAAGTATGCCTGCTAATTATGCACAGTGGCCCTGCTTCTGCCCTTTGAATGACACCAATATCATGGTTTTCACAGGATCCCCTGAAGGTATAACAACACTTCTGGTTTTAATCATTCTTTTTGCTTCTATATTCAACATAGTCTTCATTAGTCACATAACCCTTCGGGGGAAAATTCCGAAAGAACATTACAGTGAATCCTAAAGGTATATTGGCAAAGTTTTCCTTTCTCATTCATTGCCATCAAGTTGGGACTGATTCATAGCAGAGTGTCCGCAGGTTTTTCAGAGGCTGTAAATCGTCCAGAAGGAGATTGCCCATCTTTCTTCCATGGAACAGCTTGTGGATTTAAACTGCTTGCCTTTTAGTTGGCAGTATAACTCCTAATCTACTTATGGCCCCCAGAGCTCCCTTTACATAGTTTAGGGGCTGGGATTTGGCATTTAGAGCAATAACTTATTGATTGGTGATAACTATGGCTAACTATTTTATTTGGTGATACATTTGAAGCCAAGATTTTGAAATATAAAATTTCTTGAATTATACTTCGTATAATTTAACCATTCTTGTGTATTTTGGCAGATGTATCATCCCAGAATGCATCAAGGTCTTTTTAAAAAATTTTAATGTAGGATTTCCATATGGAAGTGCTAGTGCAATGAATGTTCTAATAAAATATAAAACCCAATAAGCAGTAATTAGTTTTTTATTTGCTAGTTTGGCTTTTGTGAACTATTTTTTTCTTATCTTCTATTAGATCATTTTTAAAAAAAGAAAAACAAATACCATATTGACTGTAGTTCCATGTTTTTCTTTTTTTTTTAACATTGATCAGTATTTATAGAGAGATCTATCAACCATGGTGAGTCACACTGCTAACCCCATGCCCCTGCCTCTGATGGTTCAATCCACCAGCTGCTCTATGAAAGAAAGATGGGCTATCTCCTCCCATGTGATTTATAGCCTCCCGTGCACCCCAGAAAGATAGCTATGAATTGGTTTCAACTAGATGACAATGAGTGAATTTTGATTCAACCTTTATATTTATTCAATTCCATAGCAACAACAAAAAGAAGAAAATGGCAAATCATGAGCTATCAAGTAATACAGAAAGTTCTTACTCTTGTTTTATTTAATTCTCCCTTTTTGTCAAAATAAATTTGACCTAGAAATTGCTTAAAATGATAGGAGAAAGGTAGAAAGTGTTGAGAAAAGCATGACACCAATTACGAAGAAATCTAGTAAACCATTTCCCCTAGGATAAAATAATAGCATTGATGTGCCAATTTGCATATTTTCCTTTCCAGTTTGGATGATAAGGAAACCACTAGGCATTAACTTATTATATTTACTTTCTTTGCTTTATCTAGAGCCATAAATAAAGATGAAAAAAACCCTTGATGTACTTTGGGTTTTTTTAAAAAATACGTGGTTAGCTCATTTTCCCTTTCAATTGGTCACACTTAGCTATTTCTTTAGTCCATTCTCAGAAACTCAATGGATTTTCCAGACATTCGAACAATTGCAATAAAATGATCCTACCTCAGTAATGTCAGACTAACCTCTAAACCACACAAAGACCCTCTGGCAATCAGGGGACCCTGTGGTGTTTAGAAAGGACCTCATTTAATCAGGTCAGCAAACATATCCTTTAGCAATGAAGACCAACCGCTGTCGCCGGCTATAAAACCTGAAAAGCAATCCAACTGACCTTCAGAGGAGAAATGTGAGATTGCAAGACGTATCCATGGACATTTTCTATCTGAGAAAGGTTCTTTTCTGATACATGCACCAGTTCAGGCCCTCTTACTTCATGGGTCAGTCGAGGTAAGGAATGATCATGTGCCGTGTCCTCATCTTGATAGCGATACTTCTAGGAAGAAGAGAAAAGAAAAAAAAGAAAGAAAGGGGGGAAAGCATTAGTGCTGAGATTCATACTGTCATTTCATTGACACGGCACAGTTTGAAAATATTGTTCATTTCACTGAGCAGGCATTGTTGAAGACTTTTTATAGAGACACACCATAGATATGTATATATGTAATCAGTCACAACCCCCCCAAAAAGAAAACTGATCCCATCATCATTATCAACCATCTGTGACTTGCTGCTACTTGGCATTTTTACTCTCTATTTATGAGCCATTAAAGGATGATAACGAATAAGACAGCCTATTCAGTTAAGTAGGTAAAAAGGTAATCCTCCAAATGATCAGAGTAGCTAATTATGTACTGAATTTAGGTATAATGTAAGAAGTGGATAAAAAAAACGCTGAACAAGAAAATAAAATACTACCATCCATACACCATTTATGACATAATTCTGTGGGAGGATTTATGAAAAGTTTTAAGTCCCTGTGGAAATGAAAGCCAATTTTTGCCACCTGTGTTATGGAGATGTATTGCATTGGGCAAATGCTCAGGGACCTCTCCAAAATGCTGAAGAGCAATGATGTCAGTTTGAAGACTAAAGATGTGTCAGATTCCATCATCTGCTATGTATGTGAGAGCTTGATGATGAATCAAGATGTCATAAAGAAGAATTAATACCTTTGAGTTTTGGTGCTGAAGAAGAGTACTAAAGATCCCATAGATTGTCCAAAAACCAAAGAGATATGTCATGGGAAGAATGCTGCTTGGAGGCAAAAATAGCAAAGATTTGTCTTTCATACTTGGGCATGCAGATAGGTGTGATTATTTTTTGGAAAGGGATATCATGCTTGGAAAGATGAAGGGCTAACAAAGGAGAGGAAACCCCCCCAACAAGATGAATTGACATGGAGTTGTCAGCAATGGGCTTTTGTATGTCAGAAATGGTCAGGATGGCACAGAAAAGGGCAGCGATCAGGTTGGTGTTCATAGGGCCACTATGAGTCATACTCAATCTCATGACACCAAACAACAACATATTACTTGTATTATCCTCAAAGGGAAAATAATTCCTTTCGACACTTCACCATCAAGGAGGAGGGACATTGATTTGGATTAGTTAGATTTTAGAACAGATGACAATTTCTAGCAGTGGAGTTTTTAAAGAACTTCAAAAGTCAAGACAAAGTCTGTACTTAGAGGAGAAGTAACAGTTCCTCTTCTCTTTAATATATATATTTCCCCCTCCATGCCTGCAATATTAAAAGTAGCTCTGGTCGAATCATCCTTAGTGACGTTCGATGATGACTAACCAAAAGCCACATTCCTCTGTTGGTTTGAGTCTACCAGAGGAGCCTTGGGGTTAAGACGGGTCCTCACTCTCCTAGTGTGTAATTTCAGTCTCGAAAACCCAACGGAATGTCAGTTATGAGTTGGTTCCGGCTCAATGATGATAATGAGCTTTGTAGCATTAGGAATATTTTCTGGCAAAGGTCATCTTTTTAGTCTTCCAAATAAATTTGAGAGAGCTGACAGAAAGAGAGAATGACCAGGGAAAAAAGTACTGTGAGTCAGCATGGTGATTGGCATGAGGCCAATCTCCATCTCCAGTTTTGCCCTGGATTCTCTATCTCTCTGCTTCTAAACCATTAGAGCCCCATTGTTTCAAGGCTATTCGCATATTGGGAAAGAAAAAAGGCAGCATTCTCTCTATATTTCATCCTCAGCCAGACTAAGAACGTTTTCATTTTCCTTGCTTTGTTTTTGTCCTCTGCGCACAGACCAGGAATATTAGGGACAGTATATACTGTCAGAATATCATTTTGTATTTAACTGTGATCTCAGACTTCTTCACTATATTCTAATATTGTTATCACCAACAATTATCATTTCAGATTGCTAATATGTATTTTCTTTCAAAACCATACTGATGCTTTTTCCTCAATTTTGAGATAAAAATAATATTTTATGCACATCAAGTCTCAGTCTGACTTATAATCTGATGGTAATAAGAAATCACCACCCAGACCAGGTAATTCACTCTGCTTCCTGCTTTCACTTGGTTACTGATTATGACTAATTATATTTTCCAGGGGCATTCTATAATATCACAAACTTAATCTCATTCTCAAAAAAATCACAGCAACATCATAGCTATAGTTTACAAGGCACTCTCCTTTATTTCTTTATATATTAATTGGTTTTGCCTATAATATTCCATTTTGTTCTGAGAATACAAATATTCAGAGACGTTAAGGGACTTATCCACGGTCACTGAACTACTAAACATCAGAATTCAGAACTCTTCCAGATGCTTTGAATCCAAGTCCTTTTTTTCTGTTACATCACCAGCCCTTCTTTCACCCTATCAAGAGATGAAGCCCAAGTCTGATAACTGAATTCACAACTTAGTAAAAGAACGTATTAAGTATACAGAGCAAAATATGGCTAGAACATTTCTGTGACCTGCAAGGGCCTGACTTCTGTCTTTCTAGTCCTGTAAATACTTTGAGAAGGTAATCTACCTAGGAAGCAAAAGGGCAAGTTTAATATTTATTCTTGGACATTTATGTGGTCATTGTGAGTGGAATGAAATCATGTATCTGCCCATTTTCATTTATTTAGCTTCAGACCATTCCCCTCCACACTGATTCCCGCTCTTCATTCTCATGGATGTGCTTCCTTTGACTTAATTACCCAAACCATGACAGTTGGAATCAGTCCAAATCTGCCCTTTCATTTACATCCTTTAATTTCAGTTTTATAAATCACTTACTCTTCCTCATATTCTGAAAAATTCTTTAATCCCTAGATACTTTTTAATCTTCTCTTTCCTGTTCATTCCCGCTCCTAAGTCACGTCACTATTGAGTTGAGATTCTGATTATCAGCTGAGGCACTACAGCAGTCTTTGAGCAGTTAACCTGCCTCTAAGTCTTCCCTCTTCATTGCACACCAGGGAGGTTTCTAAAAAAGCAAGATGACAGTTATCCTTAAAACTGTCCAGTACCTCTCCAGAGCTCAAGTGTCTCTACCTTCACCACAAGCCAACACCTAACACGGTCATATGAGCTGAACCCCAGTCCTCCTGAACTCTCTTTTTCCACATCACTCTCCCCTCAGAGGTTATATTTCAGGAACATAAACTGCTATCTTTCCCATGTACGTGGTTCTCCCCTGGAGGTGTTTACATGGACTATTCTGGTGCTTGGAATGCATCTCCTGCCTTACTCACTCACTGCCATCCAGTCAGTTCTAATCACACAGGGGAAGGTTGCCCACCTCTCTCCATAGCACCATTGGAAGATTTAAACTACCAGAGAGGCTGGCCTTTGGGTTAGCGGCACAACTCACTGATTATTTCATCAGAGCTCCCTTTTCCTCTCTAGTCCCCCACTTTCAGTCACTCCTATTTGTCCTGCATAGTGTATACTTTCAAAAGCTTTGTTTGAAATAGACTTACAAGCCTGGATTCAATTACTCTCTCAGCACTCCAATATGCATAGCTCTATCTTTGCACTCACATTGCTCTATAATTTCTGACTTATGAACTGAGTTGCTTGAAGGCAAAGACTGTCTTATTTATCTTGAAGGGCACATCTAACACAATGTCGGACACTCAAAAGATGTCAATAAGTAATTATGGAGTGAATAGAAACAGATCATTATTTTAAGATTTCACTTTTTTAAAATTTAACATGTGTTTAACTAGTCTCATGTCATTTGTGATAGTCTTGGAACACTTTTTATAGCGTTGGAAACCTGCCTAGGAATCACTAGGAGTCAAAATTGATTCAACAGTACTAGATTTGATTTGCTTGGTTATTTTTACAGAGCCTTAAATGAGTCTGAAAATGTACTCTTCATATTCCACTAATATTTATTTGGAAAATATCTCCTCGGCATTACTTTAACTTACACTGATCCTTCAGCTTTTGACTAGCCATTAACTCCTTTAGGAAGTGAAACCAAAGTGCAATTCTGAATGTTCCATAGTTCTCTATTTTTCCCAGGTCATAAATCATTATGCTATAAGTTAGCTGACTGAGCATTTGACTGTTTGCTGTTGTTTTAATGATTTTGTGAGACGATACTGGTCTTGCTCCTCCCACCTCTACTCCCTTAGCTAATTTCCTGGCACATATGCTCAATATGTTGTTGTTGTTATGTGGCGTTGAGTCGCTTGCGACCCATAGCGACCCTATGTAAAAGAGCCCTAAACTCCGCTCTGTCCTGTTCCAATCGCACTGTCTCTGACACTCCCATCCCAATTATCCCAGTCACTGAATCAATCCACCTCATAGAGGGCCTTCCTCTCCTGCGCCGTCCCTCCACCCTCCCAAGCATGATATCCCTCTCCAGGGGCTGGTCCCTCCTCACCACATGTCCAAAGTATGTTAGATGAAGCCTCAGAATCTTTGCCTCCAAGGAGCCACCCGGTTTAACCCTTTCCAGGACAAATCTGTTTGTTTTCCTAGCAGTCCATGGTATTCTCAATACTCTTCTCCAGCACCACAGCTCAAAGGCATAAATTCTCCTTCTACCCTCCCTGGTCATTGTCCAACTCTCTGATGCATAACAAGTGATTGCGAAGACCATAGCCTGTATCAGACGCACCTTAGTCTCCAGAGAGACACCATTGCTCTTCAGCACTTTGGAGAGGTCCCTAAAAGCAGACTTTCCCATGGCAATGTGCCTTTTAATTTCCTGGCTGCTGGTGCCAAGACTGTTGACTACTTTATAAATGACACTGGAATAAATGGATGGAATGGAGATAAATTTAAGTTACAAAGCTATTTTGACTATTGTATACAGCTTCTTTTATTTAAAACATTAGGAACATAAGTTAGAAATGGAGAGAAATCCCCACATCATTTGCTTGGCATAATCTAAGGACATCAGATTCTTAAGAATGATATTTCTCTCTCTTTAATGTTAACTTTGGTAATAAATGCTAAGAATGTAAACTGAATAAAACCACCTTGGGCCCTGGGGAGATGATAAAT